CTACTTAATAGAAACAAGACTTAAGTTCATGTGGCATATTTCTGGTCACAAAAACATCACCAAACTTCTAAATAAAGACCCCAAACACTGTAATATTAAATACTGAAGTAAATGTGAGCTACTCATATACTTAAGAAAGATGAAAAAGAAGAAGTCAAGAGCCCTGGCCGGTTTGGCTCAGCAGTTAGAACGTTGGCCTGTGGTCCAGAGAGACCTGGGTTCAGTTCCCGCTAAGGGCACGTACCTTGGTTGCAGTTTGTCCCTGGCCCTGGTTGGGGTCGTGTGGGTGGGAGCCAGTCAGTGTGTCTCTCTCAAATTGATGTTTCTCTCTCTCTTCCCTCCCTCTCTCCCTCCTACTCTATCTGAAGATGAATGCAAAAGTGTCCTCAGGTGAGGATAAAAAAAATTATTCTTGAAATTGCCTATTCCAGTTCAGCGTCATGGGTGGATGGAGCCTATCCCAACAGCAGGCGTAGGCACCCATCCTAGACAAGACGCCCTTCCATCACAGGGCACACTCACACACACCCCCATACTCACTCATACCGGGACAATGTAGACATGCCAGTTCACCTACCCGGCACATCTGTGGGATGCGGGAAGAACGCGAAGTCCCTGAAGAAAACCCACACAGATGTGGGAAGAACTGCAAGCTGCACATGGACAGTGGCCCCCACTGGAAACTGATTTTTTTCTTATTAATGTTATAACAAAATAATGAATGAAACAACGTTTTCAAGGACCTCCTGTACAGTAAAAGGAGAAATACATCATCCTGGCTGTGCAATGCTTGGAGACTCTAGTATTGCTCAAACATCCTTTTTTCAATGGTTGTTTCCTATCTTGGACAAATGCACTGTGTCTGGAGTACACATCTCCTGGTGGCAGAGCTTAGCTAGCTGAGTGGAAGCTTGGGTGTTGCTAGACTATTCCATGCTTATTGCACATGGCTTCTTTAGGAAAATGTAAACACAACATGCTGATTATACACTGCTTCAAACCCTCGGTGGAACAAGGCAAGACTAAATAAATATTATCATACAATAACAAACATGATTAAATATGTCTTTTAGGTATTACCATTAGGTATCCTCTTATTTAGAAATTCTGACCTAATGTTTTAATGATGTCTTCTATCTTAAGTTTTAAATAGGAACTTCCCATATGAAACTGTGTGTCTCCCTTGTGACCTTTAAGCACTCACATATCAAATCTCAGAGGACCAGAGCATTAGCACGTTACTCCAGAGCCACTCTGAATCGAATGCCATCTCTGGCTGGCATGCATGAACCCAAATGGTGAACACCCGCGTGCTGGTCTTTGGAAACGTACAGGTGTCTTTGCAGCCAGCCTCAGGTTTTCATGGTACTGTTCCTCCAGATGTAAATACTCTTGGTATGCCACCACTGTGACAAGATTCTGAGTTTGCAACCATCTAAGTTAAGGTGAAGTCTGATAGCAACTTCATCCTCCAATGATCTTGAAAAAGATATGCATTCTTTCTCTATAATTTGTTAAGTTTCTTTATGCCTGTAAGCACAATATTTGTTGATGAATTGCTTTCTTCTGCCAGGGTTACATTTAAACATTTTTACCTTAAAAGCCTATGCAATCTCATTTTCTTCAACAGTGCCTCCAAGTTAAAATGTACTGTTTTTATCTTTCTGCATCTACCCATATTTTGTTGGAACAAGATAAAATAGGTTTATATACCAACATTTGTAACCTCATTTCTGAAGCACTCTATTTTTAACACCAAAATATAGCTACGTATCTCTATAATAGACATAAGGCAACAAAAGCATACTTCTACTTTACTTTTGCTTTTATTTATGACCCTCAAGTTATATTTGGCCTTTCCAGAGATATTATCTGAGCTCATTTTCAACTTGTGTCTAAACAAGTTACCATTAGTTTCTCAAAAGCAAGCCAAGGCATCTTGTTTAGGAAAAATGTTCACAACTTTTACAAAAATACCTATTCTACCGGTTACATTACTTCTCTTTTTAGCCTGTGGATACGTTATTGCTTCCAGCATTTTGTTTATTGCATTGTTTGCATTTTCTTGGCACACACTACCCTTTTTTAAACTACATTTTATAAGTTGGGTACTCTGTATAGAGTTCCTACCAGAGCATTTATTGTGTAATGTTTTATAGCCCTTCTGAGACCTATAATCTCTCCCTATTACTTTTCCCTGTTCTTTTATCTCTTCGCACTGTGAATTGCTTTAAGGGTCTTGTCCCCTCCTTTATTATTTACACTTAGCACTGGGTGAATTTCGGTGCTTTCCAAAAGTTATTTTCCTCTTGCAGCACTAAATCTGGATTTTTCTATGTCCTGAGAGTCTCTTGTCCCTTTTTCTAATCACAATTTGATTTCTGACTTGAATTCAGACAGTATCCTAAAGTTCAAGAAATATTGAGTGGACTTCTTTGGAAAATACATTCTGGTACAGCCCTAGATACTTTTTCCACGTTTCACTTAGGATTTGGTTCAGCTGCTTAGAACAGAAAACCCAAATTACAGAAACCTAAGCAAAAAAGAAGTGTATTTTTCTCTTTATGTAGAAGAGCTCCAGTGGCAGGCAGTCCAGCTGCGGTGTTATCTCTAGTACCCCCGGGACACACACCAACCTGGATGCTTTCTGTCTTTTTGCTCTACCATCCTCGGTGAGAGGCTCCTTCCTAACCTGGCTCATTGGCCCTTAAGGTGGCTGCTGCAGCTCTAGCCATCACATCCACATCCCAGAAAGCAGCAAGAAGAAATGGAAAGGACACTTTTAAGCTGAAACAACCACCTGTAAAGAGTTTCCCTAAAAGTCCCATCTCACGACTTCCAGGGAAATCTCCTGGCTAGTTTGGCACATTGCTTCACTCAAATACAAAGGAAATTAGTGAGGAGAAAAGAGAGACGTGGACACATTTAGACATCCCCGCTGTAGTGCTTGGTCTCCATGCTCGAGGCAAAACTTCCGTTTGAGGCTGGCAGCTCCCAAACGGAAGGTGAGGCATACCTTTCCTCTCTGGGAAACTTCTGTGGGGTTCCTAAGATACAGGGCATGATACTTTTTTCAGGGACACACACCAACAACAAATGCTTAGCTCCTTTCCCAGGGATGATGACCTTCCTCAAAGATGACTCATTTTGAACTCTACTTGCGAGAAACATTGATCACTTGCAGTATCGAGTATTCTTCCAAAGTTGTTGCTTTTACAATAAACTATGCCTTTATCCTTTTGGAGCTTAAATTTTGTTACGGAAAGCCAAGACTCTAGAATTCAAAAATCTCCTCTCTCTCTCTAAAATCCCAGGCCTTAGAATTTAATGTTTTGGTTTTGAAGATGATTGTCTCTGCCATAAACTTAAAACAATCCATTTATGACATAAAATTCCCTTCAGTAAATCACTTGATTTCTATTACTATCCTGAATGCAGCCACTGGAGACAAAACAGGTAGAAAGCTCCCGCTGTTGCCTAAACAGGGGCAACTAAAACAGCAAGGAACCTCAGGTAAGATATTAAAATGTTATCTACTGAGTAAATAAACAACAGTAATACAAGCCAGAAGGGCAATGCAATTAAAGGGTTAAGAAGTACAGAGAGCAAAGAATTCAGACTGGGGGCAATCAGGGAAGATGTGCCTGGACGAGGACCATTATGTTTCTTTGTCCTTGAAAAACCCTGATGCCAGAAAACAGAAGAAATGACTTTGCAGACCAGCGAGAAAGGTGCTCGTTTGAATGGATTGTACAAAAACATGGAACTACTTTGCCCAGCACTGTCGTCAGCCAACAAATGCTAGTTCAGCATCAGCTCTGTCCAGCTTGCATGCTAAGCTTAAGGCTTCAAAGGCAAAAAGACCGTATCTTTAACATTTAGGAGTCAGGGGCCTTGTTAGGGGAAATAGGTAAATAAATAAGAAGTTAAAGTATAATTTGATGAGTGCTATATTAGGGGTATAAGAAATAGTGGTGAATGGGTGAATAAGTCCCTCCCTTCTCCCATGTGACAGGCACGGGGGACACAGATAAAAAGGCAGACAGTGTCTCTGAGCTCCTTGAACTTATAGTCTAGGAATGAAAGGGAAACCCTAACGACCTGGCAACACATATTCTGTTGTGCAATCAGTGCTATACATGAGGAAATTCTGCTGTTAATATTTTAAAACATGTAATAACTTCAGCATTTAAGGACTTTTTAAAAAATATGTCTTTATTGATTTTATATATAGAGAGATAGAAACATCGATGTGAGAGAGAAACATCTATCTGCTACCTCCTACATGCCCTATGGAGGATCAAGCCCGCAACTGGGCATGTGTCCTGACCGAGAATCCAACCGGGACCTCTCAGTCCCTGGGACAAAGCTTAATCCACTCAGCCACACCAGCCAGGCTGCATTTAAGGACTTTAACAGCTTCCGTGAGGAAGTTAAAATGAGTGCTGTGCACATTACAACATTTTTAGACTTTCTTTTGCTGGCATAATAGTGAACATTCAAATGTGAGGGTTACAAAATGAGTACACAGAAGGGTACTCCAGGTGCGAAAAATTTGAAAACCCATTTCGGAGATATTTTTAAAAACTGTTTATTTGTATTACAATACTGGAAAAGCAACCTCTTCTTTCTCTCCTGCTAAAGCAAACACACCTGAAAATTGACTAGACTATGCACCTCGTCATCCTCACCCTTTTCCTGAACGTAATGATGAACCCACACTTGTTGAAAGCCTCAAATGTTTCCAAACCAATGTAAGTCAGCAACAGAACTTTCATTTGTTCACTTTACAAAGGGGTTTACAATTCTGTTTGGAGAGAGATGGCACACATCCTTGGAAACGTGACTAAAAATGCCGGTAGGTGTGTATGTTGTGACATTAGACTGGGAACAGAGAAGTAGCTCATGTCAAGAAGAACCGCATTCCACATGAGAGAAAACACCAACCAGATAGACTTAATTGAAATCGTCTGATAACGTCATGGTCCACTGTCTTGCAGGTCCTCCATTCCTTTACTGATGCCATCTTTGATGAGTGGATGAAAAGATTTAATCCTCCCACAGATGCTTGGCCGCAGGAGCTGGCACCCATTGGTCACAATCGGATGCATAACATGGTTCCTTTCTTCCCTTCGGTGACTAATGAGGAATTCTTCTTAACCGCAGACCGACTTGGCTACCGCTATGCTGTTGATCTGCCAGGTAACTACTACAACTTCTAAATGGGTGATTCATTCATCTTTTAAAGAAGCTTGCTTTCTTTTTTTTTTTTTTAAAGTAAATCAAGGCCTTAAATCGAAGCATTCATGTCTCATTAAGTTTATTGGCAATTTTTGAGGATACGTATATTTAGTAAAATGAGCCTTTAAACTACTAATTAAACGTCAGAAAAGGGACGGGTTGGATGACTGTTGTTTTAGAAAACTGAAAGTTGTTAAGAGACCTTATTCCACAGAGGAAGCATCTACTTCTACACTTGATCTGACAATTCCGTCTGAATTAATCAACAGCGGGCTATGGTTTGACATGTCTAATCAGTCAAGTCAAAATGCAGTAGCCTCATGTGGACAGGGGCTTACAGGAGATCATGACTTGAAGGCAAGGCTGGGTTTAGTGTGAAGGCAAGTTGAGCCCTTGTCTGGAGCGCAAAGTTCAAGGGGAGGCCAAAAAGCTTAGTAATCTAGATAAGTAATAATATAATGCAATATTTTAAAACAATTAATGCACAAAAATCTTTGATGACCTCACTGTCAAATTTTAAAATAAAGACAGGCTATTGTTTGTTTTGTACCCCTACATTATTCTGTAACTAGATCATTTTTTTCCAGTTTCCCCATGCCACCCCTGCTGGTGGGGGGGGGGGGGCGGTCTGTGAGGATGGCTGTTGCCTGCCAACAGATGGGGCTACCTGGGGCTTCATGTGTATGTTCTGGAATTTTTTTTTAACTCATGTTTTGAATGTGTGGATTTTTATGAGTTTCCCCACTTGGTTCAAAATATGGGAGGGTATTTTGATAAGTTTCTAAAGGGATACACTTTTTAAAAAAATTTGCTCAGGCCCCAGTATAGCTCCCTGTGCCATTTAAAGAACATTAGTTTGCAGTATACACAAATGCTGAATCATGATGTTGTACAGCTGAAACTAATATAATGTTGTCTATCGACTATATCTGTTAAAAAAGAATATTCGAACACGTTGAGAAAGGAAAGGTAAAACAATAAAAATTATCTTAATTTGTTAAGAAGTCGATAAACACACAACCCTTCTGCCAGTGGCTTTTCCCCATTTGTGTCTACTTCATCTTCACTAAATCTCCACCTACAAAGTCACCGAGACAGTTTTTGGGTCCACATCTGTCTCTTTGACTCCAGAGTCTTTCAGGCCCTGGAATCTGTCCCCTGATTTTCCTTCTAGTTCTGCATCGACCGCTGCTTGTTCTCCTTACTGATTTGAAATTTCATTTCTTTGGGTAGTGGAGGATTCTTTTTCTTTTCTCGGGGACTAAACATAATAATAATAAAAAAGTCTGCAATGTGCATTTTGACCATGTTTCCATCTCCTCTGAAATCAGCCAATTAACAGGTATAGACTGAGAGTGTAAATATGCCCCCAAAGCATGAACTCACTAGAAGAGACACATTCATGTGCATGTACTGACCTGACACGTAAGTTTACAATCGCATCTAGGGGAACATAACTAACTAGAAGTTAGAGAAGGGAGTGAGGGATTTGGGAAAGGAGGTAGGTCTTGAGCTAGATTCAGAGAGATGGTAGATCTTAGGTAGCTGATGTGGAAAGAAGGCAGAATTTTAGCTCGAAAGAGCAGGGGCGGGACTGTGAGAGGTCTGGATGGAGGACTGTGACAAGAAAGACTGGTTGCAGTAGAAGGTTTGGGTAGAAGATTATTGGGAATTCAAGTTGGATCTGTGATATACACCTGAAACCTATATAATTTTATTAGCCAATGTAATTCCAATAAATTCAATAAAAAAGAAAAAACGCGTATTGAATAGTTAAAAAAAATAAATAAATAAAATTGGATCTGTGAGAAGGACCTGATTACATAGGGCTTTAAAAGGCAAGCAGAAACCACAATTAGGTACCACTTTATACCATCAGGATGGCTACTGCAAAAAAAAAAAAAAAGAAGAAGAAGCAAATAACAAGTGCTGATGAGGATATGGAGAAATTGGAAGCCTTGTGTACTGCTGGTCGAAATGTAACACGGCATAGCCACTGTGGAAAACAATATGGCAGTTCCTCAAAAAATTAAACATAGAATTCCCATATGATCTAGAAAATCAGCTTTTGATTTGAAAGCAACTACTCAAACATATATTTGTATACCTCTGTTCATAGCAGCTTTATTCACAATAGACATAAGATGGATGCAACCCAAGTATTCACTGATGGATGAATGGATAAATGAAAGGTGGTACATCCATACAATGGAGTATTATTTAGCTGTAAAAAGGAAGAAAATCCTGTCACGTGCTACAACATGAATGAATCTTGAAGACAGTATGCTAAGTTAAATAAACCAGTCATAAAAGACCAAAAACTGTATGATTCCACTTCTATGAGGTATCAAGAGTAGTTTAATTCATAGAGACAGAAAATAGAATGGTGGTCACCAGGGACTGGGGGGAATGGGAGATAGGAGCGACCATTTCTGCTTTGCAAGGTGAAAAGAGTTCTGGATGGATGGTGGTAATAATTGCCCAACAATGTGAATGTACTTAATGTTACAGAACTGTACACTTAAAAATGGTTAAGATGGTAAAATTTATGTTATATGCATTTTACCATAATTAAAAATAATAATAATTAAGAAAAAGCTAGGTGTGGCAGTTTGGACAATAAGAAAAGGCAATCATTTTTGGTTCCTGAAACAAATAAACGCAGAATCAAAATCTGTTTTAAGAAGCCGAGACTGGCAACAGATACTGCTGAATTATAGTGAAAGGAGACAAATAAAAATCCTCTTGGAGGAATCCCAGCAGGATGGGTCACAGCCCTCTTGGAGAGCGAAGAAAAAAAAAAGATGAGGAGAATATACATTTAGATAAGTGCAGGGTGTAGACCAAGAACCTAGTTCAGAGAAACTGAATTCAAGAACTGCTGTCCAAGGATAAGATAATTGAAAAAGAAATGGCAAATAGGAATAAATATACTAGCAATGAAATCCATTAATTATGTGGGAGAGTAATTATAAAATACATTTGAGTAGAGGGTTAGATTTATCATGTGGAAGATTCAGATTTTATTCACAACTATCTAAATGGGTACACGTTTCATCTGTTCCTGCTGTTGCATGTCTCCTGATATAATAACCCATCTGATCTGTCTTGCACATTTATCATCATATAAAAAAGGTAGAGACAATGGCAGAACTTTTCCACCGGAGGCTTGCATATTTTGCAGCTCACCAGATACCTACCATTTTAGCATGCACTTTTACAAATGAGTTTCTAACTCACAATAGTGTTCTATACACTTCCTTGGAGGGCTTAGTCTGTATTTATTGTAAGACATTTTTAAAAATGCAATAAGCTGTATTTAAATAATGGAATGACATTTCCCATTTCCTCAAGAAACACACACACACACACACACACACACACACACACACACACACTTGTGGATATAATAGTTGGTGAGGAAGGAGAAGATAAATTTTATTCTAGCCGGTACAGTTTTGCTTTATCAACAAAAATGCATGTGTAAAAGTCAAATTGGTTTATTTTTTTCCCCTTTGTAAAGCGTATTCAGCTGATGAAAATCCCAATCATAGACCTTTTTCTTCTGCTTTAATTTCAGTTGAAGAAACTCCAAGTTGGACCATGAATCTCTCAGTGGTTATGGGAATGCTGATGGCTTTGGTTGGCCTTTTTGTGCTGTTGGCTTTCCTTCAGTATAGAAGACTTCCAAAAGAATATACACCCTTAATGGAGACACGTTTAAACAATAAGAGATACACAGAGGAAGCCTAGAGTGCTCTTACCTTACCCTGGAGAAGAGTTCAGCTAAGCTATAGTTGAGACCCTGACAACAAACTAATCCTCTCTGTTCTTTCTTTGCTGAAGATCTTCAGCTCAGCTCGTATTGATTAAGCTCCCTCGTGTTTTGAGAATATTAAAAAACAAAACAAAAAACAATTGGTAGTGTGAATTTGTTGCAATTTTATGGCTACTGTAATTTGTGACTTGGACAAGATTATGGTTCAGTCTTTCTTAGTCCAAGTGTCCCCATTTGTAAAGGGGTTGGGTGGGGTGTAGCAGGTGCTACAATAGTCTCTAAGCTCCCTTTTAGCTGTAAACACCTGTGCTTTTAGGGGCCTTTCTGATAGATTTCTTGAGGCTTTGTTTTCTTCTTACCTCTGTCTTTTCCTCTTCAGCCTTTAATATGGCCATCAGGATGAAAATAGGCCTTATTTTCTAAGTAAGATAGAGAATAAATGAATGAATGAATGAATGAATGAATGAATGACTCGGTTCTTTTATAAATCAGACTTTGCAGAATTTATAAAAAATCTGACATTCTTAACACTAGTAGACATATTTTAAGACTTAATAACTGGATAAATATGAATCCTATAGTGATAAGTAAATAGATGAGGATTAAAGGATAGAGTTTTTCTAGTTAACTAATGTACACTTTCGAACCTATTACTAAGAATAGACTCCCTCTTTCCAGGAAAGGCTGAATGGAGAAGGCAGGTGAGGCTATAATCCTGAACCTGGAACAATTTGATGAGTTGCATTGCTCTGAGGGTCCCATTTAACTGATCCTGGCTAATTCCTTTACTAGGTAGCCTCAGAGGAAACATTATCACGTAGAATGCATTTGGCTTATTTTTAAGAGTTGATTTTGGATTCATTGATGCTGCATTGTACTGACAGCTACTTATAAATGCTAATCAATTAAGTCTTATCATTTAAAAGCAAACCATGCATACGCAATGTAACAATTCAGAATTAGATGGTTATTTTCCACTAAGTAATCATCAAATCATGGGAGATAAGAATAAGTCAATTTTTACTAAGATGTTTACACTTAGCAATATAAACCCCACTTCTGAGAATTTAACAGCTATTGAGATTTCAAGGCAAATTTCATCCCTTCGTATCTGGTACCTGTGCATAAGGAGGGAGGCCAGCGTTCCAGAAGGTGGCCCATCTGTCTGCTCATTTCAGACCCTCTTTCTGGAATGGGGGTGTGTAAAGAATGGATGTTAACACAATGGAACACTATGCAGCTGTAAGGAAGAAATATCTCTTAGCTTTGAGATGGCATGGAGGGACCTGGAGAGTATTGTGCTAAGCGAAAAAAGCCAGTCAGAGTAAGACAAGTACCACACAATCTCACTTACTTATGGAATATAATGAACAAAATAAGCTGATAATCAAAATAGATCCACAGATATGGAAGTAGGGAGCACACTGACAAACTTCAGAGGGAAGGGGGATGGAGAGTGGGGGTGGGGTGGGAAGAGATAAACCAAAGAACTTACATGCGTATATATGCACAACCAATGGACACAGACAATAATGTGGTGAAGGCAGGAGTAGGGTAGGAGCAGGGAGGAGGGGGTCAATGGGGGCATAAAAGGGGAACATCTGTGATACTTTCCATAATAAAGATAAAAAAATATTGAGTGTTAAGAAGATCCTGGAGCTGCATATGGGGGCCTAGAGGGTGCAAGATTCACCAACACCCAGTGTTACCCACCGGGATAAAACTGAAGGCCAGAGAAACAGACAAAGCCCCATCTGAACTGAATTTGAGTCTCATAAAGCTATAAGTATATTTGAGAGTAGGCTCAGCAGATAAGAATCAAAGTAGCCCAGAGTCCTTCATGCGGTGAAGCCCTGCTCAGACTTGTAGCCACAGCCACATCTGAATTCCTGTCTTTGACAGTGTTCATGGGAAATTCAACAATGTTTCATTAACATACTCCACTCTGGAAAGTGTATGCTCTCAACTCAGGGTTGTTGTAGAACACATTTTTACATCCAATTTTTAAACCAAATTACATATATATATATATATATATATATATATATATATATACCAAATTACATATATATATATATATGTATATATATATATATATATATGAAAATATAGTTGTGCATGGTTGGTATGTTCCTGAAAAATTGTGTGTAAATAATTTATAGTTAAAAGCACGCTATATGTTAATAGATGAACTATTATGAATAATTCTATAAAACAAATAACCACCTCTAGCTTCTCTTTCAGGTATATCAAAATTTTCATATAGTATATTCTCATAAGATTTGTTTAAAGCAAGATCTATTGGAGGTAGAAGTAAAGCGCAGTCATTTATACTTAGCTACTTTTATCTGTAGTGCTAAAACTTATTATAAATATTATATTTTATAATGTCTTTCTGAAAGAAATAACTTTCTAATTTTATAGTTCATATAAGAGGAATAAAATTTTCTAACATTGCAATAAATCAACAATAACGCCTTTTAACAAATTTTAAGGCAGAACAAACCTGTAGAATAAAAAAGTTGTTATTTACCTACATTGAATGTTATGCAAATAAACTCAGAAAATATCACTGAGTATTATAGGGCAATACTTCTCAATTAGAGGGGAATAAAAATTCAACCTTGAAGAAAATGAATAGATAACTTTATATGCTGTATCCTCAACATTAGAAAAATTATATGTATATGAATTATGATTTCAAATGAAACGTTTTTATACATCTAACACACAGAAGTAAAATGAAATCCAATAACATCTCTTTTCGTGTGAATTAAATTCTCTTCTAATTATAAAGTTCTTTGACATTAATTTGTGTCTTGCTTAGGATTTAACATTGTTCATTATAATAATTCTAATGAATAATTTTAATCTCACATTTACAAGAACTAGAAAACTTATTAAAGAGAAAAATAAGAATAAATGTTGCCCTGCCAGTGTTGCCCAGTGGTTGAGCGATGACCCATCACCAACAGGTGCCGGTTCAATCAATTTGCTGTTTTGCAGATTACTGTTCATCTGTTAGGAGCTATTGTTTTTTAACTTGTGAGCATCAGTTCATCTCTATGTATATGTATATATAATACATAAGTATACATAATACATAATAACTACTTTGCTTTTGAAAATAAAATATACATAATAGCTACTTCACTTCAGAAAATAAGTTCTTAAACTGATGTTTCTACTTTTGAGTTTCTAAGCCCTGGCTCACTATTACATAGTTAGGAAAAATTAGACACCACCCTTTTCCCAAGTGAAGAGCTACTATTGATGTCTCCACAGTCTAAGGACTGATTTTGAAGTGGGGGTGTGGTAGAGTGGTTACTTCATCACTGACAGAGAGGGAGGGGTCCTGCCGCAGCCAACTCACTGATTCTCCTGGAAAGCCTTCTAGGTCTATCCACTTGTCGGAGATCCCAGAAGGAGGAGGTGAGAACCAGGGAGGTAATGGTTATGTCGTGTTTGCTGTTTCATCTCAACTTGAGGCATCTAGAGGTCAGGTTGAACACCTCTCTGTACAGCTCCATTTCACTTTAAGTCCTCAGAAAATGGTGGTGGTTAATTGACAGAGGCACATAGAAGAGGCAACTGACCACACACTGCGAGATATTTACTCTCCCCAATCGCAAAACCCAAGGTTGAACTTTTCCTATTTCTACAGTGCCCTGCTCATCCCAAATACTCTATTAATATTTTTGAATGAATACATTAATCTCAAAGTAGAACTTGACCCACGAAATAACCTATATTTCAGATTCGGAGTTGGGCATATGGTAGGTAAAATTTTACTTCAAACAACCTAATGCAAGGGTATACTTTTCAGCTGTATTTTCTTCCTGGGTATAGAAAGTGGAGCAGTCCCCACTATTGGTAGGCCTTGATTATACCTTTTCTAGGGACAAGGATAAAAAGTTGGGACCTCACTGTGTCATTTTAGGCCCCTCCACCACCTGCCACCTTAAAGCCTTGTTCCAGTGGAAGAAGTAAGTGGGCACATTATGTAGCCAGGCAAACCAGCACTTTTTTTTTTTTTTGCCCAAATGGGCCCAAGAGTTCCTTTAGAAATTCTCCAAAGATGATACGATATTTTGACCTTAGCTATAATGACAGTTCAAGCTGGAAACAACCCTTGTGAATTAATTATGTTTTGCAGATAGTTGAGTGAAATCCTGAAAACAACACATAGGAAGATTGTGAGCAATCAGATACGTTAAAGTTTTCTGAACGTAAACAAAGCAAACAAAAGCACCAGGTTCTCATTCAAGGACTGTATGCTCTGTATATTTTCACCGAGACTATATCTATTTGGCAGAAATCATTAATCCACTCATGTTATTTGTCACCTTGATTCAAGTTAGACTCCTTGGATGCAATATGGCTAAATTTGGTCCTTTCTTCTTCTAGCCGCTCTCTGCTCCTTTGGAGGTTTATAAACATAAGCTACAACGATCACAGTGTCTCCCAAATATAATTGTTCTCTGTGTTGTAAATAATGCCTCGTAGAAAGGCTTAAACTTGTTCATCTTTATTAAGATACCAGAGATTTCCTGCCAGAGTACACACTCTGATTAGTCATTCACTGTGTGTATTATTGAGTGTTTCTGAATGTGTAATTAGCCCAGTGACCTTTCTGATTAACAGCATAGCTGAATTGGGTTTACAATAAAGTAAAACCTGCCCTCTTGTGTTTTATTAGAACATTGCACAAATTGCTACTTTATGGCTACTTTTCTCCATTGTGGTTAACTGCCTAGGTCAGAGGAAAAAACCAAACGCTGGAAGATTTACCATAAATTCAGAAATCAGAACAGATAAAGCACAGTATTTAGAAAGAAATGATTTCCTGCACGGGCAAGGTCATCATATAATGAAGGCTCTTAGAATTTCCTTTTTAATACATTTTAAAATGTTAAATGTTCACCAGCAAACCATAAAAATTTGGGGGAACATTTCAGGCCCCTGGGTAAAAAACTCTTTTAGGCTTGTCAAATACACACAGGGTATGATTTAGTTAACTATTATTTATATGATCATACCGCAACTGAAGATTGGGGAGTTTTCTCTCTCTCTCTCAATTAAAAACTGTTTTCCAGAAGCTGGTAAA